GAAGGGAGATAACACTGAATACTGAAGTCTAATTTTCTATTGACCTTGAAGTAAAAACTATCATAAAATATCATTCATGAATTCTGGAAAAATGGTTTTGTTTTATACACAGGTAAACAGTGATGAACTAGAGAAACCAAAGTCTTGAAATAGGAACCAAGGAGCACAAGGACAAACCTTCTTCAGTTAGTGACAAGTGGAAGAGGAAAGGAAGCTGTCAGGACCAGTGATAAAGTTTCCACCAGAGGCACCTGCCCCACACCTGACAAGGGCACCTTACCTTAATCCCCAGAACAAATGACAATACAGGACAAAACACAGAGCTAGCATGCTAAAGTCTTTAGTTTCTTAACCCATTCTTAGATGATTATGATCTATATGGTTGACTATTAAATCTTTTAATATTATATTTAACATTTTGGTGAAATTTTAAAAATACTGATTAGAAGAAAAATACATTGAGGAATAAATTTCAAATATCCTTATGCATGTGTGCACCTACATGAAGCAGGTAATAAAATTGTCCTCCGAATTCCAGGGGGTTAAACACCACACAAAGATCTTTGGGATCTGGTGTTCACACGAAGCTCTCTGCTCCACAGTGCATTTGCTAAGGTCTCTGGCAAGGCTTTTAAAAACTCAAAATGCCTATTTTACAAATTCAATAGTTCATGTTATCTTTTCCTGGCTGTATTTGTCAGTTAGAGTTCAATATTTCCATTCAACCCAATTTATATCCTAGGATTTTGACTGGTACCTTCAAAGGGCTAATACAATCTCTTACAGTCTGCTACTTTCCTGTGTTGAGAAGCCTGGTTGATCGATGGTCCTTTATTTTTTCATTTAGCAATCGTTCTGTGTCCGCTGATGTATTCTCTTCAACACAGACTGCAGAGGTTTTCCTGACAATCTATCTTCCCTTTCACACAAGCACAGACTGCTTAGTTCCGTGGAGTGCAGATTTCTAGGTCTCTTCCCTTGTCTTCTTTACATGACAGATGCAGCTACAGAGAAGTGCTAACCGAAGCCAGCAGACTATGGAGACTACTGTGCACTTATTTTTGAAGGGCAATGTTGGATTTTATTTGTGCTCCTTTGGTCTTATGTTTCTCTCTGCAAAACAAACTCTGATATTGGTGATCAAGGACTCAGAAGCAAGGTCAGCAGATGTCAAGAGAAGCAGCTCTCTCATTAGGTGTGTTTATTATTGTTTTCTATTTAATAAGATAGATTTTATTTGCAAGTTATTTTTTTTGCTGTTGTTATTTGTTTTTGCTTTTTAAGATAATTTTCTTGAACACTTTGAGCCAATAATGTCAATAATGTCAAGTCAGTAAGGAGGATGCTCTCTTTCCTGCTAGTTGCCAGAAAGTCTTCCTGTGCATATTGATGTCTAGCTGCTCCTGCAGCATCAGGTACACTGGCAGGTAGATGCTCAGTGTGCTCATGAAATTGAACTCAGAAAGCTGAAGGAGGCAGCTTGGCAGACAAAGGCTCTGAGCATCAATGTCCGTTAGTCAAATCCTACACAATGTTACTGAACAAGAAGCTCCCAGAACACAACATACGTCCAAAGGCAGATGACAATGAAGAACACTTGGAAAAACCAATTTTATGAAAATATAAGAAGCAGAATTGTTTCTTCATTTAAGTAGTATAAATTTCAAGATGATAAATTTGCAATGTATTGTGAATAATCTCACTTCTGAAGCCATGTATTTAAAATGTTAGTTCAAGCAGTTTCATAACTGGTTGAATTTTTTCACACATGCAAAATAAAATGTCTTTCATGTGTTTACAATGTACCTTAAGGGGTCAGTTTATTCTATATCTTCACTTATCTTTCCAGTATTCATAATTGCTGTGAAAGATATTTTAAAATGCAATTTTATAGATTTTTCTTTAGAAAATCTGCATGGGGTCAAATGTTTAACAGCTTGGCAAAAGGAGCTTCTCTAAACCAGTATCAACTGAACATAAATGACTTTTCTTTGTGATTTAATAGAAATCATAATTGCCTTGTTCCACTTCAGAATATTTTAGAGACATCTACTGGAGAGGCACGGAACTGCACATTTTATCTCAGCCATAAGTGGTATGGCATTAAAAAGTCTCTAATACGATATTGTAAAATAAGATAAGTTTCCTGCTAATGGAAAGCTGGAAAGACTTGTGACTAAGTCCACAAGGCATGTAACTATATGAAAGCTATTGCTTTAATATCGGACCTAATATTTTTTTCCCCCTAAACTATCAATCATGCAATTAAAAAAAAAAAGGAATTCTTTTAGATACTATGCTATTTAAGTAGGTAAACTAGAACCCAGGGTTCTAATTATTTGTAGTAAAGCACATGCAGAGCAGATAAGCACATTGGAACAGGCGCTGGGAAGAATTACCCAGTGGGTTTGATATGCAGTATCTCTTGCTAACACCGAGAGGATGGATTTCAGTAGGAAGAGGAGGAAGAGCTGGGAAGAGCTGGGCACTCTTGGGGAAGCATAAGGAGGGCAGACTAGTTGCCAGTAGATCTACTGATATTTATCATATGTTTAAACCATCTCTCTACTGCAATCAAATTAAAAGGAAATTATGTTTATGTTATGAAATCAATTTTGTTTCTGGAGATGAAACTACTTTGGGAAGCAGAGATTTATCAAGAGTATATGGAACTTTACACATTTTCTATGAATAAATAACCCAGCGATATTTTGAGGGATAAACCCTGAAATAATTGTTCTTGTACATACATAACCAGGTATCTACATAACCAAACTGTAGAGGTCTCGGCAGAGGTTTAAAGAATGGATCCAGCCAGATTGATCATTCTTGCCCTTTGGGGAAGCCTGTCAACGAGTGCTGTCAAACACTCTATGCTTATGGGAGACAACTTGATCCCCTGTATGAAAATGAAAGGCTGGTACATATTTTTAAAGTGTAATAGGTAAGGGGACAGCTTGGGATGTTATTAGGTAGGTATCAGGATGAAAAAGTGTGAAGGAAAACATAAAGCAGGAGAGAACTAGTGAACAGTGGTTCAGGGACAGCATTAGACAGTGACTCTTGACCCTACCAGTATCAAATGCAAGTACTTGGTGGACTACAATACAAATAAGAGAAAAATGTACAGGATTCTGTCTGAGCAACATGACATCCTTTTGGAATCAAAGCTATATTAGAATTCATACTATGACAATTTAAAATACTTGGGAAAAACTGCCACCCTAGCCTTATTTCCACATATATTTCTATAGGAAAGACACCTAACAGATTAATCAGCAAACTCTGGCCTTTTGTGTAGCTTTAATTCGATGACTATGACAGGATGTCATCACTGATGCTTTTCTGAGGCTTTTTTTTTTTTTGTCAACATGTATTGAAACAGAAAACTGCAAATCTAACAATAAAGATGGCTTCCAGGAAGAATTTCAGATGTGATTAACTACAGAATATAAGTCACTTAGATTTAGCCACGTGGTAATCCCTGTAAGAAGCCAATGGCAGTACAGTTATCACTTAGTTTTGTTTCTTGTGGGTATATGTGCCATCCCGGAGTTCTGTAGCTTCCCTCTCATCTGCATGCATGTAGTCTGCCATAACAGTTAAGAATCGATTAGCAAGTCCAGGAAGCTGAGTGTGGGGCATGCCCAGCTCTCAGCGGTTGGGCCTAGGACATGCTTTGACATATTGCTTTGCTCTCTGCCACCTGCAGTCAGCTATTCTGTGCAGTGGGGTGTGTAATGACAGCCTCCATCTGAAAAGACACTTTGCAAACCAACACTTTATTCTTTAAAAAAGTAATCAAAGGATTAATATTCTCTAAATATCTTTCGCATGAGAAGACAAATAAAGACATAAGCATAATTCCAAGTAGTGTCAAGATTTTTAAATAACGTAGAATTATGTAAGAAACAAATGCACTGTAACACTGTGATTAAATTTGCACACCTTATAAAAATGAATTCTTTGAAAGCAGTAATATATTTGGATCTTTTTCAAATATTTTGTATTACCTCATTTCTAAATATTTTCAGTGTGGGTAATGTTTTTTGTAAAAGTTTTATTTTACCTGGTTACAAGGTAAAAATTTACTGATACATTTGAAAATATGCTGGATTTTATGTTATCTATGAAACTTAAACCAGGCCCAGAGAAAATAGCAGTATGGAAGATTTGTCCACAGATTCTCGGTACGTGGGCTGACTGGCCATGGATAATATCCCTGACTAAACTGCATGATTCTTGGAGCTCCTGCATATGATTCTCTGTTTCTTAACGCGACTGATAATGGTTTCTCCATAGTTACATTAATTTTTAATCACAATCTCCTACACTGTTGATTGAATTCCCCACCACTGCTAATGGCCTTTCTTGTAATATTCATCCACTTAAAATATGAATGCAGATGTCACATCTTATTTGTCAAAGAAAAGCTGTTTAATCTGAAAGCAGAATAATAGTTGCATGGGTGTTAGGCTACATCAGGTGTCTGTGTGCTTGATTAGCCTTTCACCAGGACATCCTCAAAATCTCTGCTTTAAAAAAATGACTACTTTAAGATTAAAAAACTCACCTAATTATTCACAAGTTACATGGTATATTCTCTAATGTGAACTGTCATTCACAGCCCGTTATGTCAAGTAGTTGAACTGGAACAAAGCCAGAGTGTTGTATAATTATTTTATACGGGTTATTTCTAATCATTTTATTTAAAGTATAAAATGACAATTTACAATAATATGTAAGGAAGGCATGTCTTTGTAGTTTTAGTTAATAATAAGTAATACAGTGAGATATTCTTACTCATTTCTTAAAACCAACACAAGGATGAGAGGAACAGTAACAGGGCAGGTTATGAGATTTGTGGGTGACTTAGGAAGTTTGAAAACAGCAGCAGACCTAACATCTGGCTGCTTAGTAATTTTCCTTGGTGCACAGTTGGTCCATTCAACTACTTATTTATCAGAATTTTTTGTTATGATGTTATTATGGGCATATACCTTTGAGCTGACAGTTTGGCCCTATGTACCCAGGGCAGCATCTCCATTCTAATGAGGTCACAATCTTATGCTGCATCCTATAGACAGCATTGGACGTCTTCTGCGATCTGGAGAGGAAAATGATTGATACAAAATTATTTGTTTTATGTTAATGTGGAATCAGAACTTACAAATATAAAGTGCTTAGAATAATCCTCGAAATGTGATAACCATTTAGTCTTGGTACTATTATAAAGTCTTAAACATATCATCAGTATTATATTCAAAATAGCCAACAGGATTTCTTTGAATATGCAACAAAAAAGCATGAGTGGGTTTACTATTGGTATTTTAGATTAATAGTCATCACTTCATTTTCTAAAGATAAGACAGTTTTTCTTTGCATAATGTTTTCTTCCTAGATCAGTATTAGAACTTACTTTAATTCTAATACTATGCATTAAAGCTGAGGAGTACAAATAATACAGAGATAAAATAACTTACTCAAATGTCCATATCTAAAACTGATGGAATTGGAATTTTAACCTAGATTATGTGAGTTACGCTTATGCTACTGGAATTTGTCACAGCCAACCCTGGTGAACTGTATAAGAGTTGCTGGTGAAGAACTGATTTAGTGGGGTTTCAGTTTCTGTTGTAACATGACAGGTAGGACAGAACATCAGAGGTTATTTTTCAATAGCAGGATGAGCGACAACATTCTTTCCAGCCCTAAAGGCATGCCAAGACATTCATCTGTATCTCCTTCAATAAGTTATATTCAGTAAATAATTCTGTCAGAGGGACTATCATCTCTAGCCCAAGTGCTAAAGTTAAATAAGGAATGAAGGTGGAATTTATTTAGTTTATGGGATTGACTCTAGAATTTAGAACTTTGTTGAATCATGCTTGATGGTCAATGTTTCTGCTCTGGCAAACTGAGTGTCTGCTGCATGAAATGTTGATAGAATAAAAGAAATTTAGATATCTATTGTATAAATACAGAAATCATGAACGAATGCAAAGACCCATTCAAGTAGACACAAAGGGAAGAGATAGGAATAAGGAAAAAGTAGCTGGGTTTAGAAAAGAGTAAAGAGCAGGAGAGGAACTCACCTTGAACCCAGAAGAACAATATGATAAGGGTTACCATAGTAATGTTTTCATCACTCAAGAATTAACAACGTGTTCTTTGTGCCTTCCTTGACAAGAAAATTGTCACAAAGGGAAAAACAGAGAAAGCAGGGCCGCAGCTTAGCTCTATCAAATCCCTATGATGTACTCAGCTCTCTGGACCGTGAATTCCAGTCCTCAAGAGACTCAGAAACACCTGGACTTTATGTGTCCTTCCTGTGCATTGTTCCAGACAGCTGATGCATCAGATTCATTGCCTGGGTTATTTGTATGATAATTTGTGTACCTTAGTTTCAGGGCTTGAGTAGCAGTACTACATTTTCCTCCTCCCTCCCTCCCTCCTTCCCTCTCACCCTCCCTCCCTCCCTTCCCCCCTCCTCTCTCTTTCTTTCTTTCCTTTTTTTCCTTTCTTTCTCTATTTTGTTTTATCAGTCTCTTTGTGAACATCTCTAGTTAAACTATGGTTATATGTGGATTCAGAGAATTTAAGAAGAGCTCAGCCTTATGACAATGGTATATGTGTTTGTGGACATACATTGTAATATATTCATATGTGCAATGAACAACATGGTCACTAATATAACATATACATAATAAAATATATCCATATATGTAATGAACAGTATGGTTACTAATATAATCTATACATAATATAATATATTCATTTATATATAAATGAAGGAATAACCATTATTGTAAACAATTCATTGTTAGAGAAAATATTTTTGTCAATATCATTTCCACAGACCTTTACATACTCTAATATGTAAAAAAGGTACTTTTAAAATTGCTTATCTTTTAATTTTTATAGCCATACAGAAAAATATGTCATGAACAACATGGTTACTAATATAATGTATAAATAATATATCCATCTATGTAATGAATAGTATGGTCATTAAGGCATACAAAAGAAGAGCTACTTTTTCATGCACAATCACAGGTAATGATTTTCTATATTTTTAATACAAGTCAAATTATATATGGACTTTTTTATCTAAAAAATGTTAAAAAGTCTTTGAACTTATCTACTATGGCTTTCATAAGAATCTCAATCCAGGCATGTTGACTAGGTTAATAACACAACAGTGACTATGAAACAAGGTTAACACACCCTAAGCACTCACTGGGTACTAGGCAGTAAGCTGGGTTCATGAGTGCATTAGCTCACGTGATTCTCAAAGCAAATACACAGTCCAGGTATTATTAGTAACCACATCTTAATTTACTAAAGGCCATCTATCTAATCTAATATAAAGACTCTCTTTCTTTGCTTAGTCATACAGTGCCTAGAATGGCTATTCCTATGTATTTTAGGTCTACATAGAAAACATCTATTTTAAGAAAATATAGCATACCTTTGGGAACAGAGTCCACTGGACCAGCCACAGGATCCTCTCCCATTTGGTGTGTAAGAGCTGTGAGTGTCCAGTATCACTGTCGGAGATAACTTGGTATGTACATAAGCACACCAGTTCCTGAGTGAACAACAATTATTGGTAGAAAAATTCACTGTTAGAGAGAAATATCTTGGTCAAAATCATTTTCAAAGACCTTTGCTTATACACAGAAAAGAAAATGAACAGTGTTTGATAATTGTACCTAATGAGATTTGAAGAGACAGTATATGGTGAAAATAATCAGAGCTTACATTTTGTTAGGCTTAGATAAAATCGTGAACTGTTCTTATATTTAATTTTAGTATTTGTACTGAGATCAAAGACTTAGACCTCTGTCTATTACTTTGGGAGATATATAATAAGATATAAGGTAAAAAAATTTGAACCACATGGTTTGGCGTAAAAACTGACATGTTGATTAATGGAATCAAATAAAAGACCAGATGTAAATCTACACCTCTGAATACTTGATTTTTTTAATAAGGAAGCTAGACACATGCAGTGGAAAAAAAATATCTTCAACAAATGGTGCTGGTCTAACTGGATGTAGGCATGTAGACAAACGCAAATAGATTCTTATCTATTACCCTGCTCATGTCCAAGTAAATCAAAGATCCCAACATAAATCCAGAGACGAAGAACCTGATAGAAAAGAAAGTGTGAGAGAGCTTTGAAAGCATTGATAGGAGACAACTTCCTGAACAGAACGCTACTAGCACAGCACTGAGATAGATCAACAACTAAGAGATGGGACTTCATGAAACTGAAAAGCTTCTGTAAGTGAAAAGACACTGTCAGTAAGACGAAAAAGCAACCCACAGAATGGAAAAAGCTCTTCACCAACTCCACATCTGAAAGAGGGCTAATATTAAAAACACACAAAGAACTCAAGAAACTAGACACCAATAAACTTTATAATCCAAATAAAAAGTGGGGTACAGATCTAAACAAAATTCTCAAAAGAGGAAACTCAAATGGCCATTAAGCATTTGAAGAAATGGTCAACATTCTTAGCCATCAGGGAAATGAAAATCAGGATGATTTTAAGATTCCATCTTATACCTATCAGAATGACCAAGGTCAAAAATACAAGTGCTGTCAAGGATATGGAGCAAGGGGAGCACGCCTCCACTGCTGGTGGGAGTGCGAACTTGCTCAGCCACTTTGGAGATCAATATAACAGATTCTCAGAAAATTGAGAATAAAGCTACCTCAAGACTCAGCTATAGCATTCCTAGGAATATATCCAAAGAGTGGTCCATCCTCTCACAAGGTCACTTGCTCAACTATGTTCATATCAGCTTTATTCATAATAGCTTGAAATTGGAAACAACCTAGAACTTTTTTAACTGAAGAATGGATAAAGAAAATGTGGTACATTTGCTCAGTGAAGTATTACTCAGATGTTAAAAACAATGACATCATGAAATTAACAGGCACACAGATGGAGATTTAAAAATAATCATCCCAAGTGGAGGCACCAGGCTTTCTTTTGAGCCACCAACCATCTCTCAAATCATGACATGGAGACTTATTATTCATTATGAATGCTCAGCCTTATCTTATACCCGTTTTGGTAGCTCTTATAACTTAACCTGCTTCTCTTTACCTGTGTTTAGTTCCAGGGCTCTTCACCTTTCTTTTCTTCTGTATGTTCCAGTCCAACTACTGACTGGTGGCTGCCTGACCGGTCCCAGGCATGCCCTTCTCTTTCTTGTTCGCTCTCTCCTCCTCTCTTGAGCCTAGACTTCTGCTCCTACTTGTTCTTTTTGCCTGCCAGTCCCACCTAGTCTTCCCTGCATAGTTACTGGCCATTCAGCTCTTTATTAGACCTATTAGGTACCTTAGGCAGGCAAAGTGAAACAAATATAACACTTCGTTACATAATTAAAAATGCAGCATAAACAAAAGTTCGTCTTTACATCATTAACAGAGGCATTATAAGCCATTGTAACTTATCTGTACACAGTTAAAGCAATATTCCATAGTATAAATAAATAGAACAATCTTTGCCTAGTTAAGATAATATTCCACAGCAAGTGTGGTAACCCAAACTCAGAAAAACAAATGTGCAACAAACATGGTACGGACTCACGTGTAAGTGGATGTTAGCTGTAAAATAAAATGTAATGCTATGGTCCACAGACCCAGAGAGGCTAAGTAACAAGGAAGTCTAAGGAAAGGATGAATGAATCTCCTCAAGAAGGGAAAATAGAATAGATTTTGTGGGTGGATTGGGAGCACATGGGGTTGGGAATAAAAGGGATCAGCTTGGGGGAGAGGAAGAACATACTGGTAAAAACAATTGAAACTGGGGTACATTTCAGGGGCGAGGTGGAAACCTAATGCAATGGAAATTCCATGGAATCTATGAGAGTAACCCCAGCAAAGATTCCTAGTAATGGGGGGCAAGGAGTCTGAACTGGTCATCTTCTACAACCACGCAAGATTTCAAGACAAAGGATTGGGACAGCTATCCAGCCATAAAACCTCTGAGCCACAGTTTGTTCATAGCAAAAGAACTTCTTCAGTGGCTCATAATTAAGTTTATGTTACTGTTGAAATAAGATCATTAAAGGATGTTAAAGATGAAAATATGATTTTAAACCAAATTATTTGAAAATAGAGTTTTAAAATATAAAAGTAAATATGACAAATTGATGACATTAGACAAACAAGAAGCCCTTTGCATGTGAGAACACTGACTGAAGTGTTGGGGAGTGTTGACTTTGGAGCTCTCAGTACATTATCAGCTCAGAATCTTTCCCCAATGGACAACATTTGGAATTCTCTATAATGACAGCAACTGCTGCTGTCCAGCAACAGGTGCTCAAAACAACAGCAGGTACTCAGAACAACAGGTACTTAGAACAACAGGTACTCAGAACAACAGGTACTCAGAACGGCTAGTGTTGGTTCGTCACATTTTCTAAGGGAGCAGGTAAAAGGTTTCTATTAGAGAAAACCAGATCTCTTTGGTTATGAGCAAAAAACTTAACATGCTGAATCCAGTAAGATAGAGTGGGATGAGGATTCTATTGTAACTTAAAAATTAACCTTCTTGTGCATACTAAAATACAGTCTGAACAGTATCATGCTTTTTGTTTTACATCTTGGAAACTCAGTCTTTCAAATAGCTAGCAAAAAGACTAAATTGAGAAAAACATCCAGTAAGTGACAAAATCGTGTCCCAATCACATCTTATGAATCAGAGTGGACAGACTAACTGAAGAGAGGGTGTCCCTGACTATGACTGCACAGAAACATATCTTTAAGAAATAAGGACAACAGCCTCAAAAGCAACTGTTCAGGTGTGTAAAACTCGGAATTCAGATGAATGAGCTTCTGGTCACACAGTTTGCTGGCGCTTAGGCTTCTGTGTTCACTCAGGTGACTTAAACTGACAGCACAGCAGGGAATCACTAAAGATGATCACTGTACTCTTGTGAACCAGAGAACACTTATACTAAACCAAGCCAATATTCTTCCCGAAGATGGAACTTGTGGTTGAGGGACTTCATTGATTCAATAACTTTTCTTCCCTGGCATTTCATTTTTGAGATGAAGGACAGCTTTCAGGAGGCTATAGGATTCAAAATGTCTTTACTGTCCTGAGAAATCAAGAACACAATTCTATTTTTTTTTCTTTTAGAGACAGGGTTTTTCTGTGTAACAGCCTTGGCTGTCCTGGAACTCACTCTGTAGACCAGGTTGACCTTGAACTCATAGAGATCCTCTGCCTCCCAAGTTCTGGGGTTAAAGATTTGCACCACTACTGTCCAGTGGGAACACAAGTATTCTTAACATGCTATTCAAAATGTTATAAGGATTTTGTTTGATAAGATTGAGGGAAAGAAGCCCTTATGAAATCTAAACTTGAAAGAGTGAAATGACGTATTGTTTACTACTCATTAATGAGAAAGGAAATTTGCTAGTATGAACAAAAGAAATGGTAAAATGGAAAGTGCAAACTTACACTTAAAATAATTATAACAGACCAATCATACTTAGAGCTTTAGACTTCTTATATTTATCTGTGGTTACAGTACAAACCATCATTGCATTTTAACATCTATCTTGTTCTGTAAACAAATGCTTTATTGCAAGACACAAATAATAATTTTTGTCCATGTTTCTTTGCTTTTCATATACTTCACATAAATATAGTATAATGTTTTACAAAATTTTTTGGTTGTTAAACTTATAGTGAATTTTTTATAATTTAATTTTGTAGTTCATTCAGACTTTAAGACAGAGCACCTAGCCTGGTGTGGTGGCACACGCCTTTAATCCCAGCACTTGGGAGGCAGAGGCAGAAGGATCTCTGTGAGTTCAAGACCAGCCTGGTCTACAGGACACAGAGAAAGAAAATCTGTTTTGAAAAACAAGCAAAATGAACACCTCTTTGACACCCCCATTTGCAGCATGGTTAGCACCATTTATGTGCTCTCTGGAGTGGAACAGAATAGTAGAAGATGCAATCACATTTCCAGTGACGGATGATAAAGGCGCACAGCCTCCAGGGTCACAGTTGCTGTGTAGGATATTCTTGATGTGGCACCGTTGCCATGTACCAGATGCTCAGTGTGATGGTAGTTGCTGTGTGCGGTATTTGTGACATGATGTGAGAAGAGAGCTACATTATCCCCATTCCAGGATATGGCTGGTGTTTGCTTTTTGGGTGAAACTTACTTTCTAACTTTAAAATCAATAAGAAAGTACTATTAAAATTGGGCTCACAAAATTACAGACAAGTGACACACACACATATTCTTGTGGTCAAACTGTGATGTTATCTTATTCAAGAATTTGCCAAATTTTATTTTTCTTCAATTCTGGTTCTCCATAGGCTGTGATCTCAGCAGAGTATTGCAGATGACTTCTGGTCCAGCAGGGGTCAGACTTTGCCCAGCAGCAGACAAAGCAGGTTAGTTGTTTGATGTCTGCTTTTCTGCTTAACCCTCTGGTCCTTCCTGTCAACTGACTCTTTCAGCATATCTCCTTAAATAGTAAATTTTTCACCTGTAGCTTTATAATTAGAAAGACAAAAGGTGTGGGAACACAGAGGTTTTTCACTT